TAGAAATTTTACATAAATAGATAATTTTAGAAACGGGGGGGCTGGCGAAACGTTTCTATAGCCCCCCACTCGAATTCTTGTATGGTTCTGAAAATAAAATCGTACAAATTTAGGTGTTTATCTTACAAATTCGTAYAAATTTAGTACAAAATATTGGCCAAATAAAAATTGCAAAAATACAATGTGGGGGGGCTGGGGAAACGTACGTTATTTAGGGCCCATTAATGATAAAATGTTCTTAATCATAATTGATTCTTACAGCAAGTGGCCAGAAGTATTCGAAGTAGCCAACGCTGATACATTTAATACATTAGAGAAACTTAAAGAAACATGTGCTAGGTTTGGTCTCCCTGATACTATAGTTTCTGATAACGGTACCCCCTTCACATCTAATGAGTTCAGCCAGTTTTGTAAAACTAATGGTATTAAACACTTGACCTCCCCTCCGTTTCACCCTGCTAGTAAYGGTGCAGCAGAGAATGCCGTCAAAAACTTCAAGTTAAGTTTCAGTAAAATTATGAAAGAAAGTAAAATGTCAGTTCACTCAGCAATACAGAAATATTTATTTTTCTATAGGAATAGTGAGCACAGTGCAACTGGTTATACTCCATCTAAATTAATGTTTAAGAGAGATGTTAGAACTAGATTTGATAGGATAAGGAATAGTGACAAAAATAGTGACAAAGCAACTAATTGAGAGATMAGAAATTATAAAGGCAACGTAACCAATAAAACTTTTAAGGTTTGAGAAGATGTGTACATTAGAGATTACAGCAAACCCAATAAGAAGAGTTGGAAAGCATGTATGATTGATGAACAGCTAGGAAAGTCTATATATATATATGTGTAAGGATAAATTTGACAACAGCTATTTCAAAAGACATGTTGATCAAATCATAAAAGTAGGCTCATTCTTTAAAGAGATAGGACTAAGCAAAAAGATTAACGATTATGACAACAATAACAACTATAGTGAAAAAGAGAGTAGCATTAAAGTATCAATAGAGAGCGAAGGAAACAATACAGTGCCATTTGAAACTGGTATTGAGAATAATAATGAGACAACACTTATGCAAGAAATAACAAAAGGTCCTGAGATAGTTGAATGTATTAAAAATCAAGGTAACAGACCTATAAGAAAAATTGTCAAACCAAACAAATTTAAAGATTATGTGTGTTAACTGTGAATTTGGTTGCAGTGAATAATAAACCTACACATTAGCACTTTATATATATATAAAAAAATAGGAGAGATAGAATATATAGTCATATTTACTCAATTGTTACTATTATATTATTATCATTATGTTTATATTACTTATTTTGTATTTCATATTTTATATAATTCATATTCATGTTGATATGTACACTGTCTTATTATATTGTATATCTATATTTTCAAAATTTTTATGATATACTATTATTTTTTTTTTTATTGTGATATCTTATTCAATGTACCATGTCCATCATCTTATGTTATTAATTATTATATACTAATAAACTTAGGGATGAGTATTGTAATATATACGACGTCCTTGACGTTGGATTAGATACTAGTGATAAGCTACGCTCATTGATGTTTTGAGATATCATAGATTATACAATTATTCATTCTTTCTTGTGCTTCCTTGCTTGGCAATAGCATTAATATGATTTCACGTTAAAATAATGTCTCATGTTATTCAAATAAAGTTACAACCGTTATAAAGTAAAAAATGTTATTTTACCTACTACTATAAGCTGTCTATAACCAATGTATTGACATGGTGTCATACATAACAATAGATATCATTGTATACGAAAAAAGATTCTGAATGGAGACATGGTTTATCTGTCTAGGATACATTATAGATCAGCGGATCCCAACCTTTTTAGTTTCACGGACCACTAATTATACCTATGGCTCAAAGCCTAGTACCATGCTACCCACAAGTGGGTCGTGACCCATGGGTTGGGAACCGCTGTTATAGATTATTAAAAATTTTCAAATCTTAGATTTATAAAAAGAAAATTTTTTATGAATTTCTAGGATAAAATAATTTACGAATATTCGTGATTTTTACGTATGTTGTCAAAATTAAAACTTTAAATGCTTTAAAAAAATATATATTCATATATATTTCTTTTATTTTTCAACTGCTATTGTAAAAATATTATAGGAGCCTTGCATTAAATTTCCAAATCTTAGATTTAAAAAGAAAAACTTTTATGAACTTCTATCTAAGATAATTTGAAAATTGCCGTAATTTTTAAGTATTAAGTAAATATTTAAACTTCAAATGTAATAAAAAATAATTGTGCATATGTATTTTTATAATTTTTTAATTACCTTCAGAATAACTTATGAGGAACTTTGTATTAAATTTTAAAGTATTTTGATACTGCCAAAAAATTTTATCGACACTTCAAAAAAAATTTTCAGAAAAATTGAGAATCTCAGTTGTCTATAAATATCTCAACAAAAGTCAGAATATTTTGAAAATTAAATCATGTAAAGAAAATGCCAATTTAAATAACTTGTGAAATTTTCAAGTTTCTACGACTTATACTTTTTGAATAATTACAAATATTTAAAATCGTTTAAGGATAAATCGTTATCGTTACGCTATTTCGTAAATATTTAAAATTCAAAAGCTCCTAAAATTTTTCCTATAATGATGCTTCGAGTTTTATCTATAGCTACTTGAAGGAAAACTTATGAAAAACTTAGTGTCGTATTTTTAATCCTTAGTTATAAACGCAAAAAATTTTATGATWWTTCAACTTCAAAATTACTTGCAAATTTTCGCGTTTTCGATAGATTTTGTAAAAATTTGAACTATAAACGCTTATTAAAAAAAATTGTGACTTGCAATTTTTAATTTTATTTAGCTACAATAAGAGCAACTCATAAGCAACCTTGTATTAAATTTTTAAGTTTGTTTGGTCTTCCATCATTTTTTTACCGACACTTCAAAAAAAAATTCTCAAAAAAATTGAAAATTTCAGTGATCTATAAATAACTCAAAAAAAATTTTAAAAATTTTAAAAATTAAACTGTATATAGATAACACTAACATTTGGTTAAAATTGCATGTATTTACAGTGATTAGTTTTTGAATTACAACCATATAAAAAAATCGATTTGGTCGAAAACTGATTTTGTGTAAAAATTCCCGTTTTTCTGTCATTTTTTTTTTTGTTTTTATCGATTTTTTTGAAAATTGTTGGAAAATGTTTACTTTTGACCATTTTAATGCACCAAGGATCTTCACTTTTATATCGGAAACCACCCCCAAAGTTTGAAATCGAAGCATTATTTAAGCACTAGTTATGCTGTACACAGAAACAAAAAAAATAAAAAAAGACACATCATTGTAAAATCAATACATTCATCACTTCGTTATGAGTTCGTTTAGAATCTAAAACTATTAAAAATGTATACTTTTTTTGAAATAAAATCAATTACAACTTATGACAACAAATAAAACTATCACGTATTTTGCCGAGCAAAAGATTTTTTTTTTAAATAATACAAATTAAAAATTTCTTATGGCCGTAAATAGTTTAAAAAAGGTTTAGAGATTTTAAAAATTTTAGGATGTATAAGCAATTCTAATGTAAACATTTATTTACGGTTATTTTTCATACCAAAAACAAAATTGTTTTTTCCCAACGATTTTGAAAGCAACTGATGATTTTAAATTTTTATCCCTCGAATGCACCAACTAGATCCACTTACCCACCAGAAAAGATACTGATGTTGAAAATCGAAGCGTAATAATTAAACTACCTATATCGGCATATCATATGCATTCATTGTGCATAGATAAAAAACAAATATACATCGTTGTATAATCAATACATTCATCGCTCCACTCAGAATCTAAAAGTAGAACATAAAATACACCATAATCAAATCTGATTGTTATCGTCATTTGAAACGGTCCAATAGCTGAAGTAAATATTTAATAGTAATTAGCATCTACTAATATTAATTATAAAATAATTAGTTTAATTTTTATAGACATTAAACGATTAAACTGTGATTAATTGTAGTCTATCAAAGTATTAATTTATATTTAAATTTTTATTTCTATAATATAACAGGAGAAGGTTGTCCCAGTCAGGATCTTGTACCTCATGGAAGATTAGATGTTCTCTATCATGGTGCTAAATTAGAAGTAATATTTGTTGTTGGATATACAATAGATGGTCCAAGTTATGTTTATTGCAATGAAGATTTGGAATGGAATGAAGAATTAAAAGGATGTAAAGGTGAGCAAACTTGTGTGTACTTAATATTAGTATTTACCTAAACACATCCCAACTTAAAACTTGTATAATAGTTGAGAATATCACCACAGCAAGTACTATTAAACCTTCGAACATCACATCTACATTTGCATCCGCATCTATGACGAATTTAATAACGAAACCCATGACTGTATCAATCCCATTGACAACAACGTCCACTGAAGTTCCAAAAAGTACTTTATTTGTGAATTCCACGACTTCTCGTTCCATCAATCCCCATGTAACAATCGCGAGTCCTAATATCTCATCGATTATTCCAAAAATAGTGATGGACATTCATAATAATAATTCAAAAATAATCAGTACACCTTTAATGACAATAATCCCTAATCTCTAGCTCAACAATCGAACCTGTTACAATAAACAAAACTTTGGCTACCAAAAAGTTAAATATTACACATACGCCTACTGTGATCACTGTGATTTTATGTGGTTTTTTGTGTGTCCAAACACCGAAAAAGTATACTATTTCAACAATACTTAACAGGCTCACTACAAGAAATAGACCTAAAGTTCCTCTGATTGATACTTTATTGAACAAATCATTAATTACGTATAAATCATTATTTTAAATAGTAGTAGTATGTTTTGGTAGGTTCTGTATACCCCGCAAAACCGGCGAATCCGGCTACCCCGCCCGCCCTATGGTTCGAGCTATCGCGACCGTGCTCGGCCGTGCCCCCTCCCCTCTCATCCATGTCATGC